TTGGCCGCCGTAGCAGCAGCAGCCAATAATTACAGCCACGTAGAACCTTCACAGGCCGGACTGACGACGAACGCACAACGGACTTTTTAAGCGGATATTAGTACGCACTCTCTTAATGGCCGGCGCACGCAGCATTAGTGGCCGCGCCCGAAGTGTCACCACCTAAGCACCAGGTACAAATGCCTGCTGGCTCGAACTACAGTTTGACCCTGCAAAGTAACATCAGGATGACACTAAAGCAGTGAAGAGGTAGTCCTATGCACACTATCATTAGCATTAGTGTAATTCAAAATAGAAATGCTCAACACATAAACGGTCTAAGGGCGTATAACGAAGCAAGGGGATGAAAGAAGTTATAAGTAGACCTAGTGGTAGACCGCCGTCATTTTGAATCAGATGCCCTGAACAATAAAAAGTTAAACTTACCGTTTAATGCGGTGGTTGGCGAATGGCAAAACAAAGCCTCTAACGATGGCCGAATAAAATGTTTATGCTTAATTGAGGCCAGAACAACGTCTTTGACAATACTTTATAAGGTCCGACTATCTGATTTGACACGTACGGATTCTCCTCCATTTTATAGACACAAAACGAGTCAATGTTCTCGTCCTTTGTAGTGATTTAGACCTTTAGGTTAGATATGATACTAACGTCATTACTGTCACAATCTTATCACCACCGTCATTTTCTTCATCCTTTTCATTAGCATCGAGACTGTGATTGTCAGTGTCGGGAACAGCATGATCATCACTAAAAGCACTAACATCAGTAGAATCACTAGTACTGTCAGCACAATTTCTTTCAGCTGCTAGGGGTCTGACGCCCATTCTGACTCTACTGTGTGGCGGAATACCTGTAGGCAAACTGGGCTGTTTTGGAGGACTAGGCGTAGAAAACAAAAAAACGCAATTTCCTCCTTTATACTGGCGATTTCTCGAGTCTGTGGGGTTCGTAGCTTATACGACCAAAGAAACTGCGCCTAATTACACCGAATGGTAGAGCCAGGTGCTTATAATATCACTGCCCGGTGAGTGGGCTTTCTTTTCTAGTTGGCACCGACTTTGGTCGATGGAAATCTATAGAGCAGGCAACTTTAGAGTACATAAATGAAAGAAATCATGCAACGGAGATCAATAAGTCAGCTTATTGAAGCCTATAATTTGACTGCTCCGGTTCAGTTGGGCTGTGCTTCTTGAAATCAGCAAATGAGAAATTATCAAATATATATCGTATTACTCATGATCGTTGAGCAGACACCGTATCGGGGCTATCAGTGATGCGAGAGGGCGTACTGTCAATGTACTTAAACAGTGAAGCCTATATTAGGATAGTTATTAACCACCATGTTACAATCTTGAGAGCTTACTATAAGTATTTATAAACAGATTTTAAGGGAAGCCACAGCACAACGTTTCAGTCATTTGCAGTCATATTTTGAACGCTTGAGTTTGTGAAATTCTGGGCACGAAGACTGTGGAGAAATCAAAAAGATGCGATGGTGGGTTCGGGAAAGGTTAAAGTTAGAGAAACCTATGATGCTGTCAGTAAGAGTTCCCTTTCTAACCCTTGCTACCAGCCGTGAATATTACTCTGGCGGTTCACCTTCCTATTCTAAAGGCGGAAGCACTCATTGTCGGGAAATGAGGGGACGCGTCCTTCAAGGAGAGGTGAAAAACCAGTTTCTCAATAGCATAGGGAAGTTCTTAAGACAGATGTTTTGTAATTGGCTTGAGAGTATGGACTGCTTATCGATTGACTTTGGCCGCAGCAGCTGCAGAACAATATAAGAGGGTTTGTAGGACGCCCTGGTTACGGAATATGCTTGTCCCTTTATGCCTCGGAGTTCAATCTAGAACCCTCGCAGGCAATCGCATAGCGACTTTTAACATACGATAAAGTGGAACCGACAAAGACAAGGGAGACCGTGATCGAGATTGGACAGGATTGACTGATGACGGCTGATAAAGCAGCAATTACCATCCCGGTTTTCCTTATCTTTGACGGTTCCACTTCATCATAAGATGATTTTCTGGACGCACGACAACCGCATCCGTCATCCTGAGTATAAGCTGACTTAGGAAATTTTGTCAGTTGACAGGCTTGATTGCCAACGTCTGCTAAATGAATATAAATAGCGTTCGAGTTGAGCAGCACCCATTTTGTGCTAACGGAAGGCAGGCTATCGCTCATATACACTTTTGGAAAAATATCCAGTCTCTCAGTCGATATTGCAGCTAAAACACTAGAGCTAATGCATCAGCACGTACAGCTGATTTCAGAGCCATTCGCCACACGTCTTGACTATCCACCTTGTAGTTTGTTTGCTGCCTGCTGTCCCAGCCCGCTCCAAGGGAGAGGATACACGCGATACAAACTCAATATTTTTACCAGTAGGAGGCAGGACTATATTTTCCACGCAATAACATTCTGTCTAACGTATCCCTTATGGTTCCTCACGGACTAATAATACAGCTATTTGGACACTCATGTCCTATGGACACAAAGTAACGATATCAGATACGCAGTGCCCACTGGTAGTTATAGAAAAACCCTGCTTTTGTAATTTTAAGACAGTATTCGTTTGGGCATACGTATAGGCGCAGTCTAGGGAGCATACCTTGAGGGAGACGTCTCGACCAACGAAAACGTTGCCCGCAATTGTCAAATGATCCAGTTCGAGGAGATCGGGTATGTTAGCAAAGCGTGCAAGGAAGTCCTTCACCTTCTTAAATTCTTCTCCTAGTTTTACAAGCGGAACAGATGGGAAACTGCGCTTTGGAGACATGAAGATATGACCGTCCTCGAGAGCGTAGAGGTTGGACATCATTACCAGCAGGTCGGACGTCGTTTTTACCGGAAGGAAACGGCTTCTGGGGACGTTTATACCTAGAAAAAAAATGATCTGCTTAAAAAATCATTTTCATCACTGTTAGCAGACAATCAGTCGACACCATGAAGCAACGAGCCTGCCTACTGCTTATGGTGAGAAATTTACCGGATCGGATAAATATACAATTTATGGAATTTGTGGCATGGCGTTACGCAAGTTCCTTTCTAACTGGATCTTGTTGCTTCAATGATAGTCGGTGCAGCAGCATAAAACTTCACTTCGAATATTAAGTATACCATCCGGCAATTAGAGAATGTGACTGCTAACCATGCAGTCGTCTGTTTGCAAAACACCCCAAAACTGGATTCCAAAATTGCCTGTCCAAAGAGTTAGCATAATCTCACCAAGCCAAACCAAATTTTGACCAGCGTAAAATGGTCTAGTCAATCTCCTAATCAACTGGGCTGAAAGAATGTCTCCTGACAACCACGATTCCTCACAAGAAAGGTCTTCATTGGTCGATGCTCCCTAGCGAACAAAAATCGGCTTTCTGGCGGCGGCCTGTAACAAGCGCATGCGTTATCCCTTTTCGTCGGCAAGTAAAGCTGTGGATTAAGTAGTAGAATAAAACTACAGGAGAGCTGATCAGGTTTGATTAGTGACCACAAGGATAAGTTGTGTGCACTTACCTA